TCTATATTATCGTTCTGATAACCCCTTTGTAATTTGCAAGAATATCTCTCTTCGAATTTAGCCAAGACTTCTAAAAGTTGTATCGTGTTTTGTGGATTTCTGACTTCCACGTAGTCCTGGATCTGTGGTTCGAGTCGAACTAAAATATGATCCACTAAGTCTGCTTGGGACATTCCTAATTCTAAACTTCTCTCTATTTTTAGTAATCTATACACGAAATCAGTAGGATCCTGATTTCTTCCCTGCTGGGATGCATAAAATTGCGACTGTAGTTCTTTCTTATTTTTGACCGCGGGAAAAGCCTTCGCTAATTCAGCTTTGAGCTGCGCAAAATCCGTGGCTGTATTTTGCACTAACAACGAACCAAATATCGAATACCAATCTTGAGCCCTTCCCCTGAGATGACTTTTTAAGTAAGCACATGACAGATTACTTGGGATTTCAAGTAACTGTATGTTATTATCTATACACTCTATAAACTCTGCAATGTTCTCCGACCCTGAAAAGTACATTTCAGGTAGAACCGTACTTCCACCTACATTACCTAACCCAGAATTATATAAGTTCGGGCGCCATTGCGACATAGCCATCCTGTGATGACCATGTCGTGCCGGTTCCGCGTAAGCTAGAGGTGTGGGATTATCAAAATGATGAGACATAGTAGTTCTTAATACAACTTTTATTAAGAATAACTTATATTACTTAAATTCTAATTTGACAATTTTAATTAAAGTGAGAGTTAACACCCAAATTAAACCGTGTATTTAAGTCAGATCACGCAACTAGATCCTTTATCTCAATTATCATTAATAATCCTATTCATCTAATTACTTATATCAAATATTACCTTTTTGCAGATCTCCTTCCTTTACCTAAAGAACGATATCTATAAATTCCTTTTATATGCGATGATTCCAACTTCTTTATCTTAGGCTTCTATTCTTTCCAAAACTATCGGACTGCTAACTCTTGATCTGCAAGATTTCACACTAAGCTTTGTCACGCTATCGATCAGAATAATTCCACACTAAACTATCTCTAAGCTTGCCGCGCTATTGATCAGAATGATTCCACACTAAACTATCTCTAAGCTTGCCACGCTATATCCTATCATCAAAGCTTCTATCCTTTTATAGTATATCTCATTTGCATAATATCTTTGTTTATCTTCTTGGTATTGGGTTGGAAAAGTTTTGCCATTAATCGTGGCCGTCAAAGAACATAGGAGTTATGTTAGCGGAAAGACGCGAGAGACGTCACAGTCTGAACTATGACTTTTGAAAAATTCACATTATTTTCAGAGTTACGCCAATTGAAATAATTATCGGCGTTTTTTTCTTAAAATTGTTCCCCTCTGTTGTCGTAAAATATGGATAAACCCACTTCTAAGTTATATATTTCAAAAATTCTAGTTGAGCCTCTGTACAGAGGTCTGAGCTATATACAGGCAAAATATTATTATAATAGAAGCATTTTTCACAAAAGGAGAATATTTCGAAAATGGGTCATTCTATGTTCATTTTTTGTCAAAATATTGTACTTAAATAATTTTTTATTGTAATAATGTTCTTAAAACTATTTTATATTCATTTTCTAATCTAAGTGACACTAAATATCATAAATATTATCCATTTATACGCTTTTGCAAAATCACGGTTCCGAACGTAGTCGGATACCTTAAGTATTTATTTGGCAATTAAAACAATTTAAGTGCAATTTAAATAAATTTTCAATATTTTTTAATGGATAGATTATCAAACAATTTAGATTATACAATTTAATATAATGTTAGATTATTAAAAACTTCCATCATTTAGATAAGAAAATGTGGTAATAATTAGAACTCATGGGCAATAGAGAAATTTTTTAATTAATTGAATGTATATATGTTTCAAGTTATTTTTTCAAAAATTTAATACGAGATCAAAGTGAGCCACGAGTTAGAGGTAGTAGTAGAGTTCGTAGGTACATCAATACGAGATGTCTTTTTCACACATAATTCAAAAATTGTTTCTGTAAAAAGTGTATAAATCCGATTTTATATCACAAAAAATTGCATTTGTGATGAAAGAAAAGGGCATGCATTTTTCTCTTTTAATTTTAAATTAATTTCTTTAAATAACATTCTAGGATACTTCATATGATTTCTTGGGATATTATACACTGACTATATTTTAAAGAGTAAATTTTAAAAACAAACTGTCGGAGATTAGAACCCGTGATCTCTGGATTCGTAAGCACGTAACATACCACTAGACAAAAGTGATCACTCCTGTCTGGAGGCTCTTACTGGCTTATTTGGATACCTCAACAGTACTACTCAACACATATTTCTTTACCAAAGATTCTGAAAATATGTTTATATTAAAGACAATTATACTGATTGGTTTTAATAGCACCTCTTGAGTGCAAAAGTGTATTATCAGGCCCGCTTTTCCGCTTAGGTACGCTAGGCACATGCCTAGGGCGCAAAAAGTTGGTGGGAGAAAAAAATTAAAATTACAGAAAACGTACACAACCGCCTAGTGTTTATTAAAAACCCAAAATTATTCTCTTTCATTTTTATATCTAAATTATCAAATCTTCGTTTCGCTATCGGCCAAATTATTATGTAAATCACTTGGCTTTTCTTCCCAAATCGTATTTTGTTTCATGTATACGGTTATTAAATTGTTCTCAAAACTTGAAATAAAATTTCTATAGCAGCGCTTCTCAAACTGTGGGACGCCCCCTTCCCCCTAGAAGGGCGTGATAATTCTACTTGGAGGGTGGACGGGCATATCGCGAAAAAGTTGTTAGTTAATAAGTTCATACAATAATGTATATTCCCATACGATTGTATTAATTTACTGTACTTATTTATAAAAGGATGGTTTGGGGGGGTCCATGATGCCAAAAGGTAAGAAATGAACAAGAGTGACCAAACCATATCACTCTCTTTCCTTACGGCTGTCGGTTGCCAGTCCGGGACACGGCGGGTCCATAGGTGGTGGATAATGGAAGGATTCTGAATTAAGGCTGTTTTCGCCACATACACAAGAGCGTGAACTTAACGCGAAGCACATTTTCGGACAGAAAAAATGCCGGAATTTTTATAAGAATTTGTGACATTGTAACTCATGCATTTTTTTATAATATAGTGTTTTTAAAATTTCAACACATTTCATAAATAATTAGTTTTTCCTTTTAACACGTAAAGGGATAACTTCTTTAGCATTACGACATCAAGACATTACATTGGGGACTGGAATCTTGGCAGACTCCTCCACCCTATATCTAAAACTGAGTGGGCATTGCGATGTGTACTTGGTTTGGGGGGTTGGGAAGGTGTGGCCACTACGGTAAGGAACGAATGGCGAGCAAGCAGGCTTCAGCGGTTAAAACTGGGATGTTTCCTATTGGTTAGTGAGCTTTTGGATTTAGACGAGAAATTGCCTGATCGGAATAAGGAAGAAAAAATAAACTATTGAAATAAGTGACTTTTAAAATTAAAAGAAGGTTATTGAAAAATTAAAAATTAATCAAGAACCGCTTCCATTAGCATTAGAGCTTGTTCTTTGAAATCTTTGGTTTTCTTAAATGAGGGGAGAATTTGTTTTAGCTTGGAGAATTGTTTATAAAAATATTAGTTACTATTTTAAAAAGAGCAATGATATCTTTGAGATCAGAAGTATTATTTTCGTTAGAGGGGGTAACTTGGGGAGAGCTTTCTCTTTCCAATTTATTACTGTTATCTTTAGAGGGATGGGGGTCACTAGTTTTATCAGAGAATCCAGAAACAATGTTGGCGAAGGAAATTCCTTCAACAACGTTGTTGCTGGTGAAATTTTTCATATTTCTATTATACATGGGGGCGCCTTTTTTGGGCTTAGGGAAATTAGGGCACTTTGTGTAACAGGCAGTATGCCCGTACACGTGACAATTTATGCAATAAGGTATAGGAGAAAAATTGCGAAGCATATTTTATAAAAGAAAAAATGTGTGAACTCGAATAAAAAGGTATAGTATGATAAAATAAGTGATTTTCTAAAGAATAGTGAAGCCAGACTATAATATTAATGTTTGAGTACTTTTTTATTTGAAAAAATATTCTGAATTTGGGTCCAATTCTTTAACATTAGACGAAAACAGCCTTAAGAAGACAAAGAAAAGGAAAAGAGTCAGAGAGTTGAGGGAAAATCCCTCCCAAACCAAAACTGGCAAGGTAAGAACTGAAGGAAGGAGAGGGGGTGCTCTGGAAATAATGGGAGGGGGTCCAACAATTTGAAGTGCCTAGGGCGCCGGGGAGGTTAAAAACGGCCCTGTGTATTATAAAGTTTCCTCAATATCATTTTAGTAAACTAAACTCAATTTAACTCATGGAATAAAAATAATTCTTGTTTAAAATTATCATCATTTTTTTTAAACTTAAATTTTTAGGCTAAACACAAAAGCTGATTTTAATGAATTCAGCTCATACGTATGTAATTGATAAAATTTATTACTGTCCATTGTTTTCTTTTAGGTGGGGCTGGCTTGGATTTAATTGTGGAAGTACTTTTGGAGTCACAGGAGCAAAATGGAAATATGCTTCAAGGTTTCAAATTTATTTTCATTAAGAATATTTTAAGATAGAATTTTAATTTATTTTTAAGTTGTATTAAGTTTTCTTTTATACAAAAGCAAGCAATTTGAATAAAACATTAACGGATATAATTTATTAATCACTCTCATAAAAAAAAAAAAAAAAAAATTTAATTTTTCATAATTAATCTTTGGCCCTATATTTTTTTTTTTTTTTACACTGACTAGTTTCCTGCAACGTAGTATAGCATATCTATTTTATTATTGCCTTTGCGATGGTATTCTTGGAGGGGATGAAAACTCAGAATTTCTTCCTTTCCATACCTTGTATTCAAAAAACCTTATTTAATACAAAAGTCAATACTACACAACCAACTTTCCCCCCCCCCTAGATCATGCGTCACCCAACAAGTTCTTAGCTTTCCCCTCAACGCTATGGTTCGGTGGTCTAGGGGTATGATTCTCGCTTAGGGTGCGAGAGGTCCCGGGTTCAAATCCCGGCCGAACCCGTATTTCATTTTATATTCGGATTTTAAAATACGTTTCGTCTTCCTGAATAAAAATATCAAATATTTAGTTAATGTAAGAAGAGTAAATTATTTCGTAAACTATTCATTCAAAAATAAAATAAAAATAAATACAAGCAACATTTGAGATTACTGTAAGATGTGTTCTCTAAGTTCATTTATTGAGTCGTTTTCAATGGAACATGTTTCACATGCATATATATATCATGTTAACTGAAAAAAAATTTTTTAAAGAAAAATTAAAGCAATCATAAATTAGTACAAATTTGCCATGCTGTTTCCATTTTGAGGCTATATTTTTCAGTTACGTTTTAAATGGATAATTTAACAGAGCCAAATAAGTGAAAAATGTTCTGTGGTCTGGACATTCCCAGATTTTGTATTTATTTATTTTTTTTTACTTTTGTACAAAAAGAATAGTATATGATTCTTTAAAAATTATCACCAGCTGTGCTAACTTTCCTAGCGCTTAATAAAAAATGTCATTTATAGATCCAATCGCAATATAAGTCTTAATTCAAAATTCAAAGTTTTTTTTTATTAATCATGAAGTTTAATTTTCGCACGAATTTACAGTGAAATTCCAGCAATTATTTATTAATTGCCATATAATATATGTATTAAGAATGGTGGACGGTAAAAATAGCTACATGATACTCTGAATCTATGTAATTATTAATAAGTTTTTAAAATAATGTTGGCTTTCATATGATTAATTAACATGCGGAAATTTAATTAAATTGCTTACAATTAAATCAAGATTTATTAACTATGATTAAAGATTGAAGCTTTTAGGAGATTCAGTAAATTAATTATCAGGTAACACTCCAATCTAAGTCCTTTACAATATCGTTTTACTAGGTAATAGGAACCGAAATTTAAAAATATTTATTTTCGAAAAGAAAAATCCCGCTAATTTCTTTTCCTCAATATAGAGAGTAATCAACTTCTAAATACTGAAGAAATTAATTAACAAAACATATTTCTCTTTTTTTTTTTCCTTTCTCTTAAGTTTCTAAGCAACAAAATAAATTAAGAGAAAATACACTTCCAAAATGCCGAAAATCTTATTTAAATCAAACATTTAAATTTATGAAATATTGTAATTTAAATTATTCCAGTATTAGTAATTTCATAAGTGTGGCTCGGTGGTCTAGGGGTATGATTCTCGCTTTGGGTGCGAGAGGTCCCGGGTTCAAATCCCGGCCGAGCCCGAATTTTTGATTTTTGCAATTTTCTTTCGATGCTCTTTTGTAATTTTGATGTTTTTCTTCCATTGCACAAGTGTTGTTGCAGATAAATACACCTACTTTTGATCAACTTTCGAAATACCTCGAAAACAAACATCTAAAATTAAGGCTGTCTTCGGGAGCTTGAAATAACACGAAGCTCATTTACAGACATAAAAACATGCCTCAATTTCTACGGAAATTTGCAGTATTATAACTCATACATCTGTTAACAATATAATGTTTTCAAAAATTTTAAAATATTCCATGAATACTTTCTCTTTCGTTTTAATACGTGAAGACATAGCTCATTTAATATTACGGTATAGGAGAAAAAACGCAAAACACATTTTATACCAGAAAAAATGAATCTCACTCAGTTTAAAATGAGAAGTATAAGACAAAAAATGCTGCTCTCTAAAGGAGAGTGAAGCCAGAATATCATATTAATTTTTCATTTCTTTTATATCTGAAAAAAATGTTCGGGTCCTATTCTTTAACATTAACCGAAGACAGACTTAAGAATTGGCAAGAACACAAACTAAAGGTTGTAATATTCCGAATATGGATATTAAGGAATGGAATTTGGATTTAAAGGCCCTAAACAGGAAAAAGTTTTGGGAGGGTTAATTATAGTCCAGTTACAAAAAATATTAATATTTATAGTAAGTTTGTTAAAATACTCACTAAATGTAAAAGCTATTTTGTAACTAACCTCATTACATAAAGTCAAGCATTATTTCAATTTACCGTAGAACGACGGAATTGCTTTATGTTTCTAAATACACAAAAGGTAAAATTGAACTAAATGTCAAGTTAGTGAAGACTAAATTTATAATGAACTTACACTCAATTGTGCCAATTATTACTTTTTCATACTTCTTAAAAAGTGTAAAATCTACGCATATAAAGAAATTATTTCTGAGTATTTATGACTCTTACGAGGTATTTGATGAATGCTACAAAATAAGATTATTAATTAACCTCGTTTGTGGGTTGAGCAAATGTGTGTACAGTTTTTAAATCGTCATTATAGTTTTTCACAAAATTTCTGGAAATTTCAGAAACAAAGTGATTAACAATTCATTCAGTTATATACTGATTGTGAAATTTTTGGAAAAATGGTTGTTTAAGAAAAAAAAAATAATAAATACTGCTTACTGAAATACATACTAAATTTTATGAAATGTCCATGTGGACATCTTCTAACATATTTTTTCAGTCACATCACAGAATTTAATTTCTTTTAAATTTTGCACAGTTTTCATAGAATTACCAGAAATTTTACTGAAAGACACTGATTATATTGAGCAAGTAGAGTACGTATTTTATAATTGTAATAAAGTAACACACTTTTTAACAAGATGTCTTTTTTATGTCACTTATTGAAGCAAATTAATAAATACTCTAGCATCGCATCTTTTACTATAAAAATATCTGATTTTTACAGAATAATATCATGCACTTGAAAATTTTCAATTACTACAAAATAATTTTAATTTTTGATCTCAGCGAATGCTATAACTATTTTTTCTATTCTTTTCACAAAATGATACTAGAACTGTTACTCTGGGCAAACATAACATTATGATTAAATTTTGAAGGAAAGGAACTTCTACATTTTAGTAATTTATTTCGGCCTAAGTTGCAACTTTTATTGCCAGTCATAGTTTCTTATAATGCTGTATAACTTAATATACCAAAATAAATTTTTAAAAAAAACTCTCAAGAGTACTTGTTACTTCTCTTTTCTTCTTAATTGAATGGTTATTGGGGCACATGATCTCTGATGAGGTCTTAATCCCCTATCTTAAACTCTTTTCTTTTTTAACAAAATCGAAAAACTTTTTCCCGTGTTTCATACAATTATATTTGTAAAAAATATTAACCAATGAAATTTTTAAGAAGTGAGCATTATTTTTTACTTATTAGCCAGTAAATTTACGAAATTCTTTTACGCGATTTTTTAGATAAGATAATTTTATAATTAATATTTAACTGATAGAATCAAAACATATATGAAGTGTTATATCCTGAACTGCATTATATAACGCCAATATTTATTTTCAAGCAGGAAATTACGAAACAGTTTGAAACCAAATAAACTACGTCTAATACTGGGGAATAACAAATCTTTTAAAATTTTATTCATAGATGGCACCACTACAAATAACTCGAAGGTAAAGTCGTCAGATCAATTTTGTCATCAATTGCAACGGTCTCTCCAAACGTTTTCGACTCACGGAACCCTTAGAACACTGGTGGCCAATTTTTTTTAGAAGAGCGCCGCTATCTGATAAAAAAAAATTATGCGTGCCACTTCCAACAAACAAAATCGAAAAAGTGAAAAAATGTGTGTAACTTTTAAGCTTATTAAGGGATTTTTACGCAAATAGCACATTTTTAATGCAAGTCTAAAATGTGGAAAATTAAAAATAAATCATAAGTAAAACAAAAGTGCAAATTTAGGCTTGATTGTTATTAAATTTTTTACAGATTCAAATCAGTTAGGTTAGGTGTAAAATAAAAATGACTAACTTGAAACATTTAATTCTATATAATTATTAAACAGGCAGTACTTGCTTATTGTGGCTTTTGAATTTGTAGTTTTCTTACCAAGTGGAATACCATATTAGAATTAGTTCTTGAAGATTCTGACAACTAGGTCAAGAAAAATACAATGTTTTCCCTGTAATCTTAAGTTAAAATTACTTAAATATCTCATGATATCGGCAAGAAAATCAAAATCCCACAACCAATTTTCATTTATGAGTAACACACAAGCACTCATTAGGCAGTTTATTGTTTTCTTCCAGATATTTTTAAACACGTTTCCTCAAATTACAGAACCTTTCAAGTGCACCTTCTTTGGAAAGGCAGAGCACACAATAAAGGACTATTCTCTACGCCAGAGGTGGCGAACTTATATGGATCAACGTGCCATTTTTTCAAAAAAAAAAATTGTGTAATGTGGTATAGACGTGCCGTCAATTAATTTTGACAAGTAATTATTGGGAAAATAATAAAACTAAATACTAACAACATAAACCTCTATTTACTACGAAAAAATACCTTTTGTATTGTATAGTTATAAATGTTTTAGTTATACGTGTAATGTACGTAAAGTAACATTAGTGTGACTTCTGTTGTTGCAGATTGGATGACAAATAACTTATATTAGGATTGTAAGATGTAACTTTTTGTAGAATATATGCTGAATTGGAGTTATCTGCCACACGGTTTCAAACCAATTAATAATTTTTGCTGTGGTTCACTTTTTTTGACAAGAGGGCTTGTGATTTGTTTCAAAATATTGTTTTTCCGACGATGTTTTGCATACCACTATTCCAGAATATAAAACACACACCACTTTGTCGCTTTTACTAATAATGCCATGTTTCTCGGTTCACCAAAGTTGAAATTCTTTGTTACACTTTCTATCTTGTACTTTTTGTTCTTTTGCTGAACTAGCCACGTTAAATAACAGTTAAAAATCGTAAATATAACACAGATAAACTTTAAAATACAGTTGTGTCAGTGAAATTGACTAAGCTATGCGTAGACAGACTTTACATCATAAGCAATTGTAGTCTACGACATAACTAAGGCAGGATAATAACAAAGAGTGCGACCGATCATTCATTTTGTTCGTAATACTTTATAGTGAACTTTGAAATTTTTAAATAAAATGCAAACCATTTTGATAACTGACGTGCCAAAAATATTGTGTCGCGTGCCACTAGTTCGCCATCC